GTGTAGTATAGATAGGATTATGATCTGTCATCCTCCTTTAAAACAAAAATACCACAGGGGATCTGCAACGTAACAAACTCACATAAGTACGGTTTCCTGTTTTCATCGTCTAAGCGCAACTATCCTTGTTCAATAAATGTACCTCAACACGAAAAAAACGGTATTCTAATTTCTCTTATCAGGCGTAAGGCGAAAAATGCATACCTCTCATTGCGAGATAGCAAATTACCGCTCAAATTTAATTTTCTGAGAGAGTAAGAGCCAAATGATTTTTCCCTTCCTCCTCCCCGCCTTCTCCTTCTCCCCCTCTTCTTGTTTCCTTTTATCAACTTCTTATTCATATTCTTCTTCCTTCGCTTCCTTTTCTTCTTCTTCTTCTCCAAAATTCTAACTTGAAAATATTCACAGAGAATTTTAAATGGGTATTTTGGTTGGTTTTATTTTGACATAATAAAAGATTATCGGAGATTTTGAGACGTTGCGATGGAAATTCGAATTTTTGTTTTATATAGGCCCTGTTAAATCAACGTGAAGCAACTATTAATAAACTGATAATCTTAAAAAGTACATGAAGTGTTTCTCCGATTTCATGCTAAACCCGGAGTGAAATACGTGCTTTTGGCACGCAGCAGATAACTTGCTACAACACTCTCAGTAACTTCCACACGTGACTTACATAAAGAACACTAGTATTTTCTCGACGTTCAGGAAAACTAGACAACAGGCTTGAAACCCAAGATCCATCTCCATACGCGGAGGGGCGCGACAGTTTTAATTGGATTCATTAATATCCGAGCTCCGCAAAGGAAAAGGAACTTCTGACTCTACATGGAAGGGGAAAAGGGAAATGAATGAGGGGGGTGTGGGAAAGAAGAAAGGAAACGAAGATGAAATCCGAGTAACACTAAAATCATCCCTTGTTTCGCCCGACTATCCTCTCCAGTACGTCGACCTTTTGCTAGAAAATTGGAGCACTAGGAAAACTCTGTACACTAATTGGGGAGAGAGTCAATGTACCACCAGCCAGTAGAAAAACAAGGGGGGGGGGCGGGAAACAAGGTTAAAATACACAATTAAAGAAACCGAGACGTTTCGACTCAAAACTGAGTCATTTTCAGAAGGAAATACAATACAAATTTTAAAAAAAAACGATGGAAACCTGAGAATTGCATGGTGGTGGCCGGGGTCTGAGAAAAATGATCTTATGATGATATACCACTAGACTCGGTAAAAAAATCAGTATCAGAATCTTCCTTCAATACGTCAGATTTCATATTTGAGACAAACGAACGGAGCAAACACAGTATGGAAATAGAGCGAGGGAAAGGAAGTTGTTGACGGCGCAGAGACACAATTATTCGTGCTTGATGGATGTCCGTGTTGCATTTGCAAAATTGAAGGCGCGATGCCGAGAGGTGTGAACTCGTAATGATCCGCCAAAGCTATCAATGGGTTGTCGCTTAGATTCGGGAGAAAATTTTAAAAACGAGGCCCGATTACATTTCTCCTATTTTCGGCTGTTTTTATTTCTTATTTCAATCTAATGTCTGATTTCTCTTCAGGATGTATTTGTAGACCTTTAATTGGACCGCGTTATGCAGAAAGGGACCAAGCCTCATCAGCTATTGCCAAAGTTAACCGGGCAATTTGATTTTTTACATGATAAGGGTTGGGCGGATTTTGGTGCAAATTTAAGGGAATTTTCTGCATAGTAAGAAGCAAATTCCCTAAAATTTTCAAAGGAATCTATACACACGGTCTCTTGTAAAAAATGATAAGCCCAGTCAGATTTGGAAATACCTGATGTGGCTTGGTTCCTTTCTGCTAGACGCGGTACAATTAAAGCTCGTGTTTGCTAGCCCTATAACTCTCCTTGAAGAGACAGTCAGGTCAATTTGACCCTGCTTGAGATTTCTAGAAATAATTGTCAAACAGAATTCCGTGAAACTCGATTTTTTCCCCTTCATTTTCTCAGTTTGATGTCTGATTCTTTTTTACGATGCATTTGTAGACCAATATATTTTTAGCTCGTGTTCATCAGTTTTATGCAACTCGCGAGGTATAAGTATATGCTTTTTGTAAGCCTCGGGTTCATTTGACCCGACTTGGTCAAGTGAGAGTTAATGTTGGAGCAATTACGTAACAGAGGCCATCTATCCGATATCTTCACCTTCAAACTTTTCAAGAATTTAACTTTAAAGTGCCATACAAACTTAAATCAACAGGACCTCTGAACATGTTGTAAAGCGTTTATACAGCCAAAAGAATAATGGTTCATTTGCGCTGGTCGCAGAATTGTGTTTTGGTAGTTTAAGCTTATAGTTTAGCAAATAATAATAAGATCTGTTCGAACGCCAAATTTCTACGTCTAATATCAATGGAAATATCGATAATCGACAAACACGGTGTATGACATCGACAAACACGGTGTATGACATCGACAAACACGCTGTATGGCATCGTCATCCACCGCGGTTGTGCATACCATGATTTCCCTATTGTCCACGTAACTTCTAGCCTTTCTGGGCTCACGAAAAAATTGAGATATGTCTTCACGTTAACGGAGCAACGCGGCATTATGTGCGTGAAAATTGGCAGTTTTGACTCCTTCCACTGAATGTCTCGGCAAGGTGAAGTAAACAAATAGACAAAAAAGTATGAGAAGACAATAGAGTAATAGAATAGTGTGGATTCAGCACCATATTCTACTGTCTTGTTAATGGAGATTAATTAAGAGATTTTTTTGATCTGGAAACTGAATGACCAATGGTTTAGGTGTTTATGATACCATACCTAATTAGTTCACCATAAAAAAGGGACTACATTTTCCAATAATGAATTACCATTATTGACCTTTTTTAGAAAAAGCGTAAGTTTTCCTGTACAGATAGGTGCTTATGGGGATGAACCAGGAACAATAGATATTCTAATTGCAAAATTTTGTCAAATCGTACATCGCAAACTTGGTTTTCATCGGTGATCCAGGTTTGCGCGAAAGGTCTAAGGAAATATATGAGGTTTGCGTGAAACAGGCACAACGATTGCGCGAATATAAACCTTAACATCTGCTACAGGAATGAGAGCATTTAAAAATAAAGTCATTTAAGATAGAAGTTTGGAAAAACAGGAAATAGTTGGAAAAGAAACGCATTTTTATGTTAATGCTAGTTTAGGTAAGTTTGATGACAAGTCATCGATGTCCAACCTTCTGATGATAAATGAAGTGAAAAGATTGAAAAGTGCTCGTGGGTATAAAGAAATTTCCTAACTTTTTTCGGGAAAAATATTTAATCGAGAGAAACGAGGCAGCGTTGGAATGCTCATACGGCGTTGTAACTTGTAACAACATGGGCCTTTTCAGCTCTATTATTCGATGCCGCGATTATTCTAACGCGAGTTCGAATTTCGCGCTGCTGGCATTAAACGTATACAGCGCCTGCAAGACAGTAGGAATACTTCACGCATTACGCCAAACAATACGGTCCACGCAAAGCCCATATTAGCGCCTACAAGGCTGCATGAATACTTCTCGCAGTGCGCCAAACGCAGTGCAGTCGCCCGTCAGTCAGTTAGCACGAAACGCATATTAGCGCCTACAAGACTTAGACTAAATAGGAATGCGGTAGGACTGCATGTCATCATTCTTGACTGTCTGCTCCAGTGTTTACTATAATGGAGATGTTTCATGCGTGAGGAATTTGCGATTTGACTGTTGATTCTTATGTAAAAGTTCGCGAAAAACACGATGGTGCCACTGGTTCTCTGAAATCAACTTCCAAGCTCAAAAAAAGCTCTCAAGTTGAGGCCAAAATGGAGGGGATATCCCACCCTACCCTGAGAGTCCACGTCTACATCAAGACAAGCTCTCCATGCAAAGATAGGGAGCAAATACATTGACAGGGCTGCCACTTTATTTGGGGACTCCAAAACTGGAAACACGGCATCACTGCTAATGTATTTGCCCCCTATCTTTGAATGGAGAGTTCGTCTTGATGTAGAGGTGGACTCTCAGGATAGCGTGGGATGTCCCTTCCATTTTTGCCTCAACTCGAGAGCTTTTTTTGAGCTTGGGAGTTGATTTCAGAGAAAACCAGTAGCATCATCATGTTTCTCGCGAACTTTTACATAAGAATCAACAGTCAAATCGCAAATTCCTCTACCATGCAACATCTCCATTAGAGGGAAAATATGTATAAATTTTCTTGTCCGTTTGTCATGTGCGACCTCTCCAATGGACCAATAGACAAGGTACGAATTTCAGCATTCTGATACATGTTTCTTAACCAAAATTTCACGTAGAACACGATACGCACAACGAAAATTACCGAAATCAACTCTTTACGAAGATATTTAATGATTCTTGATGCGTGAATTGAAACCACCCGCTCATGAAAACTCAATGTTCTACGTGATTCACATCGCGCGCTAAACGTTTATCATGAGAGTCTCTGCAATATAAAAATCTGGCAACCTCAATCTTGACGCTTTGGCTCAGCTACAAAAAATTGCTTATAGTTTAAACAACACATGATGGGAAATGAACATTGCTCGATAGATAAGATTGCCGAAACCGTTGTAGTGCGCGATTTGACTCACGCAGAGCTTTGAGTTTGTTGTGAGCGGGCAGTTCAAATTCCTCGTAACCAATGTGAAATAAAAACGTTGATATCTTCGTTAGGAGATAGTTTCAGTAATATTCGTTGCGCTAATCGTGTTCTACGTGAACTTTTAGTTAAGAAACATGTATCAGAATGCTTAAATTCGTACCTTGTCTAGTGGTCCATTGACTGGATCCACTGTGCGCCAATGGGGTGGTTTCTAGCGACAAGATCTAGGGCAGCCGGCCTCGGAGACACCCTGTAGACGACTCGAAATTCAAGTTCATGACTGCCGGGGGTTGGCCACTAATTACGGGCGGGGGGCTGGGGGCGGGGAACGTGCGCAACTATTCGGCTCTGGAATCCCCCGGGTGCGCATATTTATGTCCTCGTATAAAAGGACTCGCCCGCCACCCGATCGGCCTTTGAGTGGCAACGGAGATATTCTGCTTCAGGCGACAGAATACCCGTACTCCCGTCACCCTTGGCGAGTGCAGGAGCGCGACGTCTGAAGTAGTTCAAAAGCCGCCTTTTTGATTTTCTTCAGAATTCCCCGATAGCGCGAAAGTAAATATCATCTTACGGTAGTGATCACTAGTTATACATACAATTATACTTGATCTTAGTTTTGAATAGTTTTCAATTTATATTGGTTTTGTTCAAAGGCTCCTCGAGCAAGTGAATGGATACTGTACACCGAGGGGTGTGATTTCATGTGTTTCAACTGTTCCTGGGTTTTTACTTTTCTTTCGTAATTTACCCTCTGGTGAGGGAAGGAGGTAAGTGGAATTTATGACCGTCTACGAGAGGAGGGCTCCAAGTGGCGAAAAACTCAAAATTGAGGTTTTGATACAAATATTTATAGGAGTTTCCAACAACAGTATAATATAAAAAATACCCGAAAATGTCAACCAGGCCGGAATTTCAAACGTTAATCAATTAGTTTTGAGGAAACGTGTTTTTACGCTGAAATCGCTTGTATGCGGAGTTCAAAATTGTTCAAATAAAATTTTAAAAAAAATTCCCTCCATTTGCAGGTATTAATTGTATCAGCAAGTACCGCAGTTGGGTGAAAAGTAGAAGGAAAAGCTCCCCTCGCCATAAAATCAAATTCTACTTTCGGAGCGATTTTTAATCCACTTTCCGTCTATAGCACCCGATCAAATTTTCCGTTCAGTGAAATCATGCAAAAATCAAGAAAATTAGTTTGAGAGGAAAGAAAGGAAGAAAATATATTAGGTAATATCAGTTCATATTTGGTGCTTAAAATTATTGAATCTGAATTGAAATTTACGGCCTCTATTGGCATTAAGAGAGTTAGATGGGCAGGTGCCATATTTCAGTGGGCAGTTGAATGAAAAATTGCAACTGAAGTGCAAGTGCAGTGTGAAGTCAGACTCCACTTTTCCTGCACTTTTTATCTACTTTTTTGGGGGGAGGAGGGTCAATAATACAAGTCGCTTTTTTCGCACTGGTCGCTTTTTTCGCTCAATCAGATGATTCAGCATATTTTTCTGAGTACTTGAGAGCATTCTTTGAAAAAACTCAAATTCCAATTTTTGGACCCAACTTGATAAAAATTGCTCCCCAAAAAAATTTATCCTCGTTAACTGAGATCCTTTTTCCCAGTAAGGTCACATTTTTTTAGAGCAAAAAAAAAACAGAGGCATTGATGATTCCGGGCAGTGCCTGTTTCAAAGAAAACTTCAGTGAAAAAAATTGACCTCAAAAACTCAATTTACAGCCTAGTAATATGAATATCAGTGTAATTTTTTCATGGGTTAAAAGACTCATGAAACATTTATCATAGAAAAATTACTAATAAGCATATAATCCTAGAAATTAATGTTTAAAATGTATAATCATTTCTTTCGGCGTATAAAAGAGGGTAAAAATGTGACTTTTAATAAACCGGAGGCTTCGATTTTTTCTTTCTTTCAAACTACTCAAGCAGTTTACATCGTAGGTACATACACACGTCACCATAATTTTTAGCAATACAACTCAAACATTTGAGGAATATTTTTTGAAAGGGCACTAATTTATTAAGTACCAAAAAATTGCAACTGCTCAATCGGTACGACAAGAACAGAAATGTTTAAAATGTAAAAATTCAAGCAGAATATTTTGAGATAAAATTTCACTGACAACGTTTCCTCTCAGAATTTTCTTGTACAATTGAGGAGATTTCCGGAAAAAGGGCACATAGCAAAAAATTGAGTTTGAGAGAAATGCATTTGAAGTTTTGATCATTACTCTATGGCCACTGACGGTGACTTCCGTTCAAAATCGGGGGTCCAAGCTGCGATGAAAGGTACCATCAGTGATCAGAATTTAATAATGGAAACTTGAAATACATTTTTCTCAAAAGCTATTTTTTGCTATGTGCTCTTATTCCGGAAAGCTCCTCAATTTTAGTGACCCCTAAAAGGAGTAACAATAAAAAATAATCAAAAATATTAAAAAATATTATAAAATCGTTAATTTTTTCAAGACCAGAATTTTCAATCGTTTTAGGCCTTGTCCACGCGAGCGCAGTTTCGGTGGATTAGTTCCATGAACCAGGGTTCGAGGAAATAGTTAAATTAGTATAGCTAAGTTATAATTAATTCCTGGTACAAGTTCGCCCGCGAGGTTCCGCGAACCGCGCTCATGTGGACGAGGCCTTGAAATGGTGGTTACTCAAAGTGGAAACACTTAAAACTAAATCGAGCTGCCGTTTTTTTAAATAGCCTTTAGTTTGCGCAAAGGGTCCCCTTATTATTATTATTTTTGTGATGATGATGTATCATAATTTAATGCGGATGGGATACAATTTATCTTTGAGGAACGCATCTAAAAAAGCCATATTTTTAAAACTCTATTAAGTAATGTATCATCGGACTTATCACAGAAAGAAATTAACAATATTGAAATCTTTATCTAGATATTTAAAACATGGTGTTATGTAAAATCTAAAAATTGATATCTTTTCACTCTTAAATGGTAACAAGATCAAAATCTTCGTCTGTTGATAAATTTCGAGATTTTAGACTTTTCTTCATTTTAAATTTACCCTATTTCCCGTGTTTATTAGAGGAAACGGTCTGCAAAAATAACTGTATTGGTATCTTTTAATTTTGAACAGAACTTGAGATAAATGAATCAAATGTTGCATTGAATGCAAAATCTTAACGAATATAATTTACGAGTTTTAATATCATAGGATAATAATTCATTCGAGCGCCACCATGAAAAAAGCAAGGCAGTATAATTTAAAAATGTTGGCTCTTTTTAAGGTGAACGCTGTTTGCGCTTGCATGTCTTTAAACTGTCTTTGCAACTTTTCAGTAGAGTGATTTTCGTCGGGATGGTTGAACAATTAAATTTCATGAAAAACCTACCACAGTGTCTTACAGAATGAATTTCATGCGGTTTTATTGATTTTTGTGTGAATAGAGAGACTTAAGTTTCATTAAAATCCGGCAAGTTTGTACCTTGAAAATAGTAGCTTTAAATATCACTTTCTCAACATTCTACAAGTGCTTTAATTGAATTACAAACTTCTTCCCAGTCCAACTCCATTTTCGGTGATGTGTTCCAAAATTTTTGTAGAATATTCCTTCATTCTATGGTGTCATTAATGATGTTTTGAGATTTTGTGGACAGCCTCCGCGTAGACGGTCACATACACTGACAGTGATTGAACTTATCAGTGTAGGCAGGGGCAAATTTTCTTCTCGATGATTGGAAAAAAAAGAAAACCAAATAAATAAGTAATTATTGCTTGAAAATTTGAGAAGATGTATTTAGTATTTACCATAATAGTTATCAATACTTTAGAGACTGTAGTCATTAGAGCAGTACCTAGTGGTTACTACGTTAGTTATTAGTTAATTGGTACACAGGAAAAGAGGTAGTGTGGACTGTCAGGCCTGGACCTGAATGCAACTCTACGCGCTCTTAAGGGTTATAGAAAATTTCGTCAACGATTTTTTTGTCGGCACACCTGCTTTTCTAATAGTTTACGTCCACGCGTTTTTCGGCAGGGGAGTTTTGGTCCACCTAACAATTGAGATCCAAAGTTTATTGGTCCACATGTAAATACAAACGACAACTGCTCATGACGTTTTTGGATGACAATGTAAAACGCCTTGGAAGAATAGAGGTTTGCTTGTTTGGTCCAACGGAGAAAAATATATTATTAATATTTTTGGTGAAAATGAGGGAGTGTCAAATCAATGAGGGAAAATTCACTGAAACTCTCCACACCTCTTTAATGCAACAGGACTTAATTACTTTTCAGAAAAATCCTATCCTCTCATACCTGAACCTAATAAATCTTTTGATTTGCCTCAGCTAAAGGCTCTTAGATTTTTCCTGTGTACGATTTCTTTGCGACGGCGCGGCGCCAGCGTGCCTCGGCGCTAAATAATTGCTTGAGGCATGCATCATACCACGCTGCGGCGCGGTCCGGCGGGCGGCTGGTTAGCGCGGAACGCGCATTGGCGCCTACAAACCTAACTGGATACTTCAAGCATTGCACATTGCGTGAAGCATCCCTTCCTTAGGTTTGTAGGCGCTAGTGCGCGTTCCGCGCTGACAGCACACCGCTCCACTCTTTGTCAAGTTCTAATATTCAAACTCGCGGAGTCAGCGTTTTTCAACTCATGATTTTGAAATGATTGCACACTCTGCGTGGATTATTCTCATTTAAATTGTTAAAAAAAAAAAAAAAAAAAAAAAAAAAAAAAAAAAAAAAAAAAAAAAAAAAAAAAAATATAGTATAAGGTGTGTTTTAGATGGAAAATTTTAAGGATAGAGATAAAACCAAATATTCACCAATGACAATTTGAAAAGAAGGATCAAAAGAAGAAAGCGACTTTTCACTTAAAATATGAATTGCCATAACAAAACCTCCTTCTCTCTAAATTTTCTCATTTCGATATTGTCAATATAATTTTACATACGGACTAAAATATGACGCTTGGACCAAGTCACCGTTGATTATTTTATGCGTGGACGTATCCTCTTGGACAAAACAGGTGCGCGGACAAAAAATCGTTGACGGAATGTCATGAAACCTTCTCAAGATGTCCGTGTTGCACACACTACAAAAATGATGGCGCTTTGTAGAGTGAACTTTGCCCCACAGCACGGCGGAGCTCTCCGCACCGCTGTAAAAATACACAGCACTCTGACACTATAGCTATAATTTTAAAATGTATTTTCACTTTATAGCAATCTGTGCTACTTGGGGTGTGATAAACTTAAAATCATACCTCATCTAACAGTCCACTCATTACAATAAAACTAGAAAACGAAGAATTCTTTCCAAACGTAATATGGGACGTAGGAAAGTTTTTAATATCAATCTGAGTAAATATTTTTATTTTTCGTTTGCACACTGAAGAATTGCGTTGCATGATGAAGACTATCATGAGTTTCGAGAAAAGCTACTTATTAAACTATTATATTTTTTGTTTGTACCAAAAGTCTTTGCCGTGATTCCATTTTTAGCTCTGGGAAAGTTCAGATCTCCTGCCTATAATTAATTACGAGGCGAGAATTAAATGGACGTATTTCTGCCAAACGGAACTAGATGCATTATGACGTGAGCCCTGTTATGCATGTATTCTTATGGGTCTCAGGGCTCATGTCTTGACGCAAATAGTTCCGTTGGCAGAAATACGTCCAGATATAAGACTTCATCAAAGGCTCTCTTGTGATTCTGAAGGATTTTATGGAAGGAACAATGGTGAACGTAGAGATATAGTCCTGTAAATTGTAGAATTACAAAATTATTTTACTTTATCCCATTTACGTAGTTAATAAATGAGTTAAGATCTCAGTAGTTAGTTTTATGAAATATGTGTTTTCTTCCCTTGATTGAGGTAATCTGCTCGCCCAACTGAAACGCACTTGTATGTACAATGAGCTTGTTCAGCAGTACAATTTTCAAGACTTCAATTTTAAGCCATCTTGGCTTTCTCGCGGCGAAGGCGCTATTAAACGGGAGCTCAAAATACGCAACCTCGAATTCGTTTCTTGGGGGTAAATGTCCTGAAAAAATACCGGCAAATTCTTATGACCCAAGTGTCTCCTCTACTTTTCAAAAATGCAAGAATTAAAATTTACTCAACAAGTTCAATAAGGAGGAGTATTTTTACTAGAGTGAGCACATGGCCTGACGGAGACTCCTCAGAATACAAAATTGGCCATCTTAGGTTAGAGGCAACTCTTTTCGAAACGAGCGATACCTCCAATTTTATTGGACGTATTAACTGCACGGTTAGAAATCTTGGGGTGAAAAGCGGAGTGCAGTTGACTCCGGAGGTTAATTTGCTCCCGGAAAACTCGAGTGAAATGAGTAAGGTTTGAGGTTTGCTCCACAGCGGTGCGGAGAACTCCACCATGGAGGGGAGTGCACTCAACAAAAGAGAATTTACTCCACTCTATAAGAACACTTACTATCCTTCCGTATTCATATAACTCGAGTTTTCCTAGATCAAAATCAACTTTAGATGCTACTGCACCCGGATTCCACTCCGAAATTTGTAACAATGTCGACTTTTGAACAGGCTCTCGTCGGCTTTTTTTTTATGCACAAGCTTAAACCACGAAAGCACGATTCTGTGACCAGGTTTATTGATATCCATTGATAAAATATGCACCCAAGTCAATGCATATATTTTCTCCAAGTTTGTATGCCTTTTGGAGAGGGTGTAATGCCGAAAAATAGTTACGTGCACTGAAAAAAAACTCCCTCCGTGGAAGCCGTACTTACGGGCTATATAGACATACAGTACGCGTTTTGGGCTCAGAGGCAGAAAGTTCCGGGCGTAGCACCTGGAGCAATGCTACGGCTCCAGAACCCGGAACGGGCGGTATGTCTATACAGCCCGTAATTTTTTTTTTCAGTGTTAGAATAAAATATAATAATAGAGAATTTGCAGGTGTCTGAAATTTGATGAATTTCGTATTTAAGTGGAAACTACTGAGTGAACTGAACACGAGGATGCCCTTGGTTCATGAATTGAATAATTATTGGAGAAGATATGACAAAATTATCTAATTTCTTAAAATGTATGTGTTTAAATGGGAAATGCCGCCAGATGATGTCACTAGGCGGTGCATTTTCTCACGTTTAAATCTATTCTTGTACTATTTCCCATATCAGAAAAAAATTATAAAAAATACCGCGAAATCAGCTCTTTCAGCACTTGCAGATAAAGCAATAAAATGTTCATGCAAATTCTCAATTTCATCAAAAAGCATCGGCTAAAACAAGTCATTTTGTATGAAAAAAAAAAAAGGTGAGTGACGACTTTAATAAGGCGATTCTCGTGTGTTTTAGACATGTCATATCGATCGCAACCACACTACCAGGCGTACAACCAACCATGGAACAGCCGAGGCGGATACGGCAACGAATCCATCATAGACAGAGCACCACCAGAAATTTTGCACATGATGGATGCGCACTGGTGAGAGAACTTCTATTTTCCCTCTAATACCTGAATTTGGAATATAAAATATTGGAAAGAGTAATGAATCCAAAGAGAGAAACTTCCACAACCAGCCGATTTTCCACCGATGTTTCCGCTGCTTATCGTTAAAACTTAAACTGCTCTTCGCGTGGAAATACCAGTAATTGCAGATTTCCAAACGGTGACATTATAACGTAGCAAAATGCATGGAAGTCTATTCATTGTAATGGACATGGACTATTCGATAGACATGAGTATAAGAGAGGAAGGGGGGGGGGTAAATTTATCAATAATTATTTTCAAATTTTGATCATACTTTAGCATTTTTACCATCTATTGATTAAATCTGATCAATTTTTTTATATTTCAAAGGAAAGTTATCCACCTTTATAAGTAATGCATTCGATGTTGCAGAGAGAGATTTTTAAATGGTTTCTATAGGTATCTCCTATCTAAATTTGTTAACACGCAATTAGCAATTAATTCTGATAAAATTGTATTTTGCAGGTACCAATATCCTCCCATGGATCCACTATGGCATACAATTTTAGGAATATTTATAGCATTTTTGGCTGTAGTTTCATTTTTCGGAAATGGCATGGTCGTATACATTTTTTCATGTACAAAAACACTAAGGTCACCATCAAATCTCCTCGTAGTCAATTTAGCTTTCTCAGATTTCTGTATGATGTTTTCAATGGCACCCACGATGGCCTACAATTCTTATTATGGAACGTGGGTTTTGGGTGAGTAACTATCTGATCAACATATTCGTTTTACCAAATAATAGTTTACGTAACAACCTCTTGTTTTCCAAAATGAGCATCACACGTCTTACTTTCCTTCCATCCGTTTCATATGTAGTGTTAGGTTTTCGCAAAAACAATGGTTACTTTGACAAATAGTTGTCTCGTAAATTTATCCGTACGCGCAGCTCGTAAAAAAGCTATAGATGTATTATTTTAAAAAAATATATTCATCCTCTCTACTTTGATAGGAAAAAATAGAAAGTTTCACTTTGAAAGATTATTCTAAAGGAATCAAGGGAGTGTTTCTTCAAAATTGTTTATTTTACATCGAATGATAATTAATAGGCTCTCGCCTTGTTAAAAGAGTGTTATGAAAAATTCATTAAATTATTGAGCCTCCAAACGAATAAAAATCAATGCATCACTGAATCGATTATTTCGTGGAAATATTCAAAATATGGGGAATGTATGTTTAAATTCCCAAAACCAAATCAGGAAAAAGCAATGCACGATTCCATATTTCACGTTAGAAGCAATCGATTCAGAATTTTGCGCGATAAAAAAAGGGGGGAAAATACGAGAAAAAAATATTTACCATCAGCGAAATGGATCACTGTTGAAAACACACATGAATGTGCATTAAATAGGTACCTAAATTGAATTCGTATTCATTAAAATCATTTTTCCTAACTTAGAGCGCTAGGTTTCTAGGGAAGGTATATTTAAACGTACCTACAACTCTCCAAAATTAGTTTATTACCACGGCCGACTCCAGTAAACTTTGGTTTATGTGTAAATAAAACTTGAAGGGACAAATTACTTGGTTCCAATTTTGACTGAGTTAAGCAGAAGGAACCAACCCGCATTTTGGAAAAAATTGAGTTATGAGTGGTATTGAACTCAACCACTGCTGTACTATCTATTGGCAAAAATTCAAAGTTTTTGTTGGAGCAAATTTTGCAGAAATTGAACTTGAAGTTTATCTTTTACATTGAGTCTTATGCAGGAGCCAAACTTTAAACCTCTTTTTCTCGATTCGATCCCGATGTGGCTTGGTTCCTTTCTGTTTAACTCCGTCCATTTTTGACTCGACTTTGAACATTTTTTATAATGACACTGTGAAATTCTGTTGAGAGCGTATTTGCTATGGAATTAAGTTTTCAGCCCTAGGTATTTAAGTGCTTGTTTCTTTGAACATATTATTAAATGTAATTAAAAATATTTATGTTTCGGCAATAAGCAAAAAATAATTTAGCTGTTTTTATTGAATATTACAGGTGCGTTTGCGTGTGAACTGTATGGCATGCTCGGTTCATTATTCGGTTGCGTATCAATCTGGTCAATGGTACTGATTGCTCTTGATCGATACAACGTCATAGTGAAGGTAAGGCTAATTCAGTGTTTTCCAGAATATTAGTATTACACACACAGCAGTTCAAACCGTGCTGACTAGCCACCATCCTTTGCCTCATACACAGGGCCGGATTTATCTACTTGCCGCCCATGGGCCGCCTGTATTTTGCCGCCCTTCTCATTCGTTTTTAAACATAAAAAACCATCACGTGAACGTGCCGGAGGAGGAGGGGTCCAAAAGACGCCTTCACTTGTGTTGGACACATTTTTAGCGAAAGCCATGTCAATACTACTGGCAAAAGTTCACTGAACTTTGCGCGAAAGTTCAGTTCCGTAAACCCATCTCTGTGTGGACAAGACCTTCCAATTGTAAGAAATAAACGAACAAATTATGAAAGAACAAACATAAATGTGATTTAATAATTTTAACTTCCGCCACCGCGCCGCGCTAACCGCACTGTGTTTGGCGCAATGCGTGAAATATTCATGCATTCTTGTGAGCGCTGCGCATTTCACGCTGACCGCACTGTATGTGACGCAATGCGTGAAGTATTCATGCACTCTTGTAGGCGCTAATATGTGTTACCTGCCGACCGCCGCGCCGCTCCGAGGGCTTCTCCTTTTCATCTCAAGTCCTCGTCATCATTGCTCCCTGCGCCGCGCCGCTCCAGGCCAAATTGCGTGTTTGGTTTCTCTCTTAACGTGACTAATTAAAGGTGCGCAGTCTTTGGTATCGCCGAAAGACGACAAAATTAGAAATTAATATACTCCCAGAAAATGAGATATTTTGTCGCCTCATCTCGTCTGTAATTTTTTTCTGAATCAGATTTTCTTTACACCTACATTTAAAAAAATTGCAAAGTTTGCCGCCCCCTAAATTTGCCGCCATGGGCCAAGGCCCATGTGGCCACTGGCCACCCCCTAAATCCGGCCCTGCTCATACAATTTCGTGAACTTAGTTGTGATGCATCACTGATCTTAACCCCTCATTCTAAATACATGTGTGGGTTTTGTTTGCAAAGGAAATTTCAAGAAAAAATCAATAAAACCATTTCTGAAACCTCTTAGTTCCGTATTGGCATCGATATGAGTTTTCAATGTTTCCAAATTTTGTCAAACTCCTCTCTTGACTTGCTCTACTGGGCGCCACTGACGAAGCGGTTAGTGTCTGAAGTCAAGACGCCTTCTTTTCCGTGCGTATGCAACACGGACATCCATTGAACTGTAAAAGTTGCATCCAGGCGTTGTAATGAAATTCGTTTCGTATCCGTCGCGAGGAACTTTAAGTGGAGCTTTGATTATTTCTCTCTTACACCTCAACTGAATTGCAGCGTTGCCTTTTGTGCAGACGAAGTATTCTTTAACTCAAAGAACTCGTGCTTTCGGGAAAAACAACTTAGCGCTGAACCCTGACATTTTAGATCAAATTATGAAGCGAGCTAACGGCAGTAGTTCTGGACCCTACAGTCTGTAGGGCTGAAGTGCTGAACCTTAAAGTTGTAGGGCTCAACACTACTGCAGTGGCGTGGCGTGCTTTGCGATATATCGATTGTTATGACATTTAAACCTACGGGAAAGGATTGACAAAGAGGGTGTTCGTAGCGAACACCTTAATAATCGATTATTTACCATAGGTTTAAATGGCATACCAATCGATATTTCGCAATTCATGCCACGCCACTGCACTACTGCCGTCAGCTGGCTCCATTGATCTGAAATTTTTCAGCGCTTAATTGTTTTTTCCGTGCTGCGTGAGTGACCAAAAAGTGCGATGCAACTGTTTCGCCTGCCAAGTATTTCCAGTGCTAATGCGGTGTTTGGGCGCTGGGAGTACGATGAGTCTTTATGTGTTCTATTAACTTTGATTGACCATTAATTACGTTGTGTCTATTAAATGAACAGTGTACCCACAATTCGCATTAAATTTCAAAGGAGCCTTTTGTTTTCAGGGTCTATCAGCAAAACCACTAACGATAAAATCATCACTATTTCAACTGTTCCTCATTTGGTGTCACGCTCTCATTTGGACGTTAGCCCCCTTCTTCGGATGGAACAGGTGACCAAAAGTTTTTATACGATAAATCGCTTCTCACTGCCGTTATATATTCCTTTTTGTACAGTTTCAGAATGGTAGCTCAATGGTACGCATTGAGAAATTATTTGACATTTTACACGGAATCGAGATTTATGTTTCTAATCTTCTCGAGTTCTCGTATAAGGACACATTCTTTGAAATATAAATGATAAACATACACATAAGTTGCTTGCTCATTTAACATTTGAGATCAAGAGACGGATTCGAAGTTTTTGGCAGAATGATGCACAGGATTCGTTTTCAGTTCGTTTGTGTTTTTAGTTTCCTAAGAATTTTCTTCAATATTTCACACAGATTTTTGACATTTTTGACCAATATTTGTAAATTTAGACTGAAAACTGCCCGCAGGCTGCTAGACAATGAATACAACGAGGAAATGAAGCCCTCCAATCGGTTGAAGCGGGTGGGTTTCGTAGACTGAGAGGGAAAATTATGGCCAAACTATGGAGCGGGAGCCTCTCGGAGGTTGTCATTAGTCTATTACCTCCTTAGCAAGAAAAATGATCCTAAAAACGTGGCCCGACCTGTATGTATGCAAGGTGGTAAAATAGTGCTAGGTCTACACTTTTTTGCTGAGAAAACAAGGTACTTGGTACAAGGTACTCAGTACAGCTCATATCTTTAATTCTGATTGAAATTTTTGAACTTATTTTGTCTTATTTCCCCGCAAAACAGTGTAGACCCAGCAGTCCCAGCACTATTTTCCCGTCTTTTTACCTCATCAAGCCATTGCCAACCACCCGCTTCTACCATTAGGATCAATCCGTTTTCCCTGCTTCTTTTTTGTCTATTGCTTTGTCTATCAATTTCAATAATCATCCTACAGCTCCAGAAAGCCTAGCACCAGCTTTATATAGTGCATTCTAGTTTCGTTCCGATAAAATTCGCCGAAAGATTTTGTATTGGTCATTTATACTGGCTCCACGTTCATGTTATCAGGATAACAGAATAGTGATCTTTTAGTCGAAGTGTGCAATATTTAGCATACACTTTTTCAGAGTTTATGTATGTTTTGTCACAGATACGTTCCGGAAGGTAACATGACTGCATGTGGTACTGATTACTTTTCAAAAGATTGGAACAGCATCAGCTATCTGATCTGCTACGCGTCGTGTGTCTATCTGACGCCGTTACTAACCATCATCTGGGCATACTATCACATCGTTAAAGTAAGATTTTTTGCATGTTTTGATACGTCCTTTAGCAATGACACACACACACAACAAAGAGCAAAGTGTACATATTTTCATTTCAATGGTCTCACTTCTTGTTGCTGTATGCCCCGTTGTAAAAAAAAATGCATCTTTAACGTTATACCTAGCACCTCCTCAATGAAATAAGCTCACTCTATCCGGATTAAAAATAAAAAAATAAAATACAACAAAAAAAAATAAAAAAAAAATTGGTCCTGGCTCCTGACAGTCAGACAGTCTGACTTTATACACCCCCCCCCTCCAGAAATCTTTAACCTTGGTACAGATGTTTGGTATTGCCAAACAGACGTTTGATAAATATTCCGGGAATCTATTTCTCAGTTCAAGACTTTTCTGAGGCGCAGATGGAGCCAGACAGTTCATTGACCACCACAGCTTTTCTCCGGATTATTGTTTTCATCTCTTTGTTTCTCTTGTTTTAAACAGGCAGTTGCTACTCACGAGAAACAAATGAGGGAGCAGGCCAAAAAAATGAATGTTGCCTCGTTGCGATCGGACGGAAACAACACGAGTGCAGAATATAAATTAGCCAAGGTAACGGAGAATTTTAAAGCATAACACTCGACAAACTTTTTGAGTCAAAAAACTTGACTCAAAGACCGCAGCTGTAGTTATGCTCCAAGGCTGTGCCTAAGGCGTGAAATTTACCTATTGCTGAAACAATGCCTTTTAATTTAATCATTTTTTTAAAAGAGTAAATGTATTGGATTTCAAATGGGGTTTATGTCTTTTTTTGTAGGAAAACTGTTCAAGTATAATGAGAAAAATTAGAAGGCAATGTCTACCTTAGTTGATCCCCCCCCCCCCCCAAAAAAAAAAAAAATAATTGAATTGTCGACTTGAAATGAATAGTTTCATGCCTCCGTGCTTATACATTTGTCATAAGATATATTCAGTATGAAAAAGTAATCTAAGATTTCTTATCATACATTAGTATAGAAAAGTAGTTGAGGGTTTTTTTTTGTGGGCTATCAGCATGTATAGTTTGTTTATCCTAAAGCATAGTTTACTCGGAAGTGCCAACATTTTTTTTGCCCTGACGGTCGAGATCAATTAATTGCATGAGGCATGTGAGTATAGAGATGACAAAAATAGGTACAGCTGACAATACGACGCGATGTCCAGATTTTTTCTCAGATTTTCCAAATTAATATTTGTTGAGTTTTGTCGCCCGGAAGATCATCCGGACACAAGATGACAAAATAAAGCTGCAAAGTTTCTTGAAATTGTAGCAGCCATAGTCCGATATGGGCATTGATTCGTTGGAAAGTCCTTATTCACAAGAAATGTGATTCACTGTTTCACAAGAAAATTGCCTCCTCTTCTGAAACCATTCCCCTAAGATCGAACAATAATCCCGCACACATCGACGAGTTCTCTGCACGGTAATCATATTTTGTCCCTTGTATTTTAGGTCGCTTTGATGACGATTTCGCTATGGTTTTTGGCGTGGACGCCTTACGGTATCATCAACTTTTCCGGTGTCTTCGACTTATTGAATTTAAGCCCACTCACGACCATCTGGAGCTCAGTGTTCGCCAAAGCTAATGCCTGTTATAACCCAATTGTTTATGCTATTAGGTAAGTTATCAATATAAACATTATACGGGGCGATTTGCTAATACGGTAAGATATCTACGGTGAAAGTCACAAAACACTCATCTCGATTTGTGACATTTTTAGTACAGAATTCTATTCGTTCAATGAAAAACCAACGAAAATTATTTTTCGTCCTGTAAAACAATTCTCCACGAATTTCGAGAGATAACACCCATTGATTTTTTTTGTGAAGAAATTAAAGAAACTTTGCAATCGAGACACGTTTTTTATTGCAACTGAAATCGTCGATTTGTATATTTATCCAAATTTATATTTTTCCGGTTTCAGCCATTAGAAATTTGTTTACAATGACGAAACTGATTTGTAAGAGAAACTGGAGGGGGGGGGGTTAGTTAAACGTAATTTACGGATGACACATGGGTCGATTCATCCGCATTGCATGGGAACTTACTCGGTGTTTTTTGTTCATTTATTTATTAATTTCGTTATATTTCTTGTGCAAGTTGTTTAGAATAATGGAAACAGGAAACACCATTTTTCATTCTTTATGGTCGTCCTAAAAAAACAATAATAAAAAAAACAAAACAAATAAATAAACAAACAAACAAATACTACTGCTTCATACAGTTTTAAGATCACCCTTGTTATCTCTCCTTTAAATAAATTATAACGCAAGATTATCCTAAATCTAAGCTCAGATTCGGATTCCTCGTGAAAAATTGATGCCATTTCATGTATCATACGTTAGCATAGCATAAAGAAAACAATAATAAAAAAACAAAACAAATAAATAAACAAACAAACAAATGGACTGCATTTTGCAATTTGGACCTATAAATTCTGGCTCATCTGAAAAAAACACTTATGTGCATAGGGAAACTAATGGCACATACGTTGTTTTTAAACCGGGCCGGAATTTATAGGTCCAAATTGCAAAATGCAGTCCAAATACTACTGCTTCATGCAGTTTTAAGATCACTCCTGTTAACTCTCCTTTAAATAAATTAAAACGCAAGATTATCCTAAATCTAAGCTCAGATTCGGATTCCTCGTGAAAAATCCATGCCATTTCATGTATCATAAGTTAGAATAGCATGAAGAAAAGAGGGTAAACGTAGGCGTAGAAACTATTCTTTGAGGTACGCCGCCAGCGGTCGCGGGTTCGTGGAATCTGCCGTTAGCGCCAGCTGCGGCGCCGAGCTTTCGGTTTCGTCCCGAGGAATTTCTGCGAAGATAAATTCTTCTTACTCATCCGCCCACGCACTCAGCTGTTGCCTCAACCATGTTGCCACGTTGCGTTGAACTGATATGGTGGAATCTGTACGCACACGTTAAGCCTCTTTCCTTCACGCTATGCTAGCGCACGATACATGAAATTCATTCGATTTTTCACGAGGAATCCGAATCTGAGCTTAGATTTAGGATAATCTTGCGTTTTAATGTATTTAAAGGACAGATAACAGGGGTGATCTTAAAACTGTGTGAAGCAGTAATATTTGTTTGTTTGTTTGTTTATTTATTTATTTGTTTTGTTTTTTTATTATTGTTTTTTTATGACGATCATAACGAATGAAAAATGGTGGTGGATTTTGGATATCTTGCATTTTAAGTCCAATTTTCAAAATTCAAAAATTCAAAAAAATAGCGAACGCTGTCTGAAATGCTATCTCAGTTTCTGTTAGTTCGATTCCTATGGAACTCGGTACCAGTTGGTCTTTTTTGACGGGAAACTCGAATTATCAGTCAAATTGTCAAACTCTCAAAATCCAAAATATCGGTCGTGGCCTGGAATGGCTTCCTGGCTCATGTTAGTTAGATTCTTGTGAAACGCGGTATCAGGGGGTATTTATTGCCAGGAAACTGGAATTCGTACTCTACTTATAATTATAATTAAATTAACGAACTTCATTATTAAACTTAATTTAAACTAATTAAATTAAGCCAATCAATGAATTAAATAAAAAACGCTTGTAGGATGTGATATTACCAAATGTAAGTCGGGGGTGAGGGGAGTGGGGAGCGACTTAGGGTGTGCCTTATTTTTGAGTTTTGCGAAAATCAAGTTGGTCAACCCCTAAAAAGTTTCTATGTAGTCTCTAAATGAACCCCCTAAAAGGAAAAAATTTTAAAAAAATTTTAACCCGTGCCTCAAAGGGCCTAAAGGGCCTAAACCCAAAATTCAAAAATTTTGGCAAGCGACACATCAATTCTGAAGGAAAATGGCAAGTTACGGCCCTTTTAGGGCAGAAATTTCGTCCGTTTTGCCGTATCTTGAAACGTAAGGTCACAAACGGCCCAATGACGACGTGAGGCTATGGGCTGG